CTAGACAATGTCTGTAGACAGTTCAATAAACACAACAAATGCAACAAGTATTGCAGCTGTCAGAATCATGTAAACCTGAAAACCTAAATCAGGTACTCTGTTCAATAGTTGCACGCGATTGTACAACTGTACAATGCATGCACTTCGTTGCCTGCATGTCTGCCACATGTATTTCTTTTTGGGACTGCACGGATACTTGACTGAACATCCAACTGTCCTTGATGGTGCATGTACTTCTCCGATGTCCATCTTCTTGGCATGCACTGCAGGCGGGCTTTCAATGCGCTGTGGAATACTTGGAGGCATATTCCTGCGCAGTGTTTTGGGGCAAGCCAAAACTATGTTGCTGTCCCTTCCGAGTTTTGGTTCTGATGAGTTCTGATGACATTAAGCTTTTGCAAGTGGTTGATGATGAACGAGCTGTAGATGTCTTCTTTTGTCCTTTGCAGTGCCTTTGTCCACTTCGGTTGAAAGGGCAACATAACACTCTGAAGACTCTTGAGGTCTTGACTAGGTAGCGGCAAGTCGGTGCAAGCAAAACATCAAACGCCCACTGCACATGGCAGCTTGCACCAGCCGAGGAGTCGTGCAGAGTTTTTCAACTGCACCGACAAGTCGTGCACGACCCTAAAGAACTTACTCAAAGACCTTGTCATTGTCATGCAATGCCCATCTTGAAGGCAGCCTCGGTCCTCTGCATGCTGAAGTTGGCATACACAAAAGCCTCAGAACCAGGGGATTGACGTTGCTTGGAGTGCATCTGGTGGCACATCGCCATCTTCTTCGAGCCAAGTGCAACATACTGCTCACGGGTCGACAAATCTGCACGGCAGTCGTGCAAATCGCCCAGGAGTGTCACGGAGGTGCAGTCCCCATCGATGACCAGCTGGGACTTGCCCAAAGCCTCGATCGCCTCATCCAGGATCTGCTTGGCCTCCTCCATGTGGTCACGGTCCGCCGCCGCGCGCCCGCGCTCCAGCGCGTCGTGGGTCAAATGTCGGTTCCAGTGGCGCTCCACCTGAGGATGGCCAGGAGACACTGGCACCTGGGCACGGCGCTCCAGCATCAGTGGCTTCAGCTCGTGCTCGCTGCGCTTCTGCAACACCGAGAAGCCTGAAGCTGTCACCCGGCCCAAGGCCTGCAAGGCCTCGTTCTGTGCTGCCGGCAGGCGCAAGGAAATCAAGACGTCGCGCCTCTCCTCAGCGAAAAGATCCCCCAGCTCCACTTTCACACCGTTCTCTATGGGCTCCACTGGGAAGGAGGTGAAGGCTCGATCGAATTGGACACCCGGTGCCAGCTCCAGCTTCAATGAGACGTTCTGATGTGTGGTGGACAGCAAGCCTCCCAAAGCTTCCCCGAAGCACTCCGCGATCTGATCCTCGGACTGCACATGGCTATAGCTGCCCTCGCCTGCGTCGGCAATGCGTTGCAACACCTCAGCACGATGGTCCTGGCCAAAGCCGAAGGTGGAAATGGTACTCTTGCAGCTGCTCAACTCATTCAGCATGGCAGTGGTGGCAGCGCAAAGGGCATCGCTCTCCGTGATCCCACAGTTTGCATGACCATCGGTGAAGAGGAAGGTGGAGCGCACCACCACATCCGGATTCCCAGCCCCCAAACTGGCCCTGTCCTCTCGCATCTCCTCAGCCCTCTCTGCAAATGAAGCCGTGCAAGATTCCAGAAGCTCCCCAGCCCCACAGAGGAGGCCGCGGAAGCAGCAGTGGAAGCTGCACCAGGGAAGAACCCTCCAGAAGAGGAGGAGGCCCCGGGCGACCTTAGCGGAAGCAGTACGGGGCGGAAGGTCTCTGCCCGGTCGAAGGACAACATGTGGTCGACCTTGAACTCACGTCCATCCTTCATGTGCAAGGTGATCTTCACCTCAAAGGTGCCCCAGCCCAGGCGTGTGAGCTGGAAGGGCGGCTGCTGGACCTCGACCACCGGATCACGGAAGGTTTCGTGGAGCTCAAAAATCACCTTCTGAACCAAAGCCTCTTCTTCAGGCCTGTTAAAGCGAACGGCTGCAGTCCACTCATGAACCCTGGGGCACCCCGTGGGCGGCTCTTCAATGCGTCCATAGTGCTCCCCCTTGGCCGAGCGCTCGGCGGCCTCGTCATCCGGGAGGCGGCGGTAGAGGTTGCCCACCTGCACGGTTTGCTCCGGGGTGGTGCCACGTGGTGTCTCTTTGTGAAGCTCCAAACCTTTCCTTAGATTTGCTTTCACGGTCCCAGACGAAAAGAACTTCCTCCAGAAAAAGGGAGCACATATGAGCACATATAAACATGACCTCACCTTAATTAGCCAAATCAGGTTTCAGAAGGCCTCCGGACAAGTTGGTCTGACCACTGATCTGGATCTTCTCCACTGCCATCTTCAGCCGCTCGCGGCCCTCGGCATCGCAGCGGGTCAGCGGGCAGGTGACGTGGACCTCGCTGCCGTACTCTACCAGACCTAAGGAGTCCTTCTCGGACAAGTAGCGGAGCATGAAAATCATGGTCTGCTTCACCAGGCGGAGCTTCTCACCATGCATGCTGCCACCTGGTGGGGGAATTCACAATAATGCTTCCAAGAACGGAAGACAGGGATTCACATCTTCCAAAGGTCAGGGAAAATTCACGAAAGTGGAAAGAATACATCTTAACAAAGTTGAGGGGATGTGGAAAAGAACCATCACCCTCAGCAAAACCAAGCTACTCTTGTCCAGCACTGCTACCAAATGCAAAGGGGCCCGCTGGTCGCTTTGCTCCTTTGGTGCCACCACCGAGAGCACGGCACGGAGTTCGCTCGCATCGAAGGCCACCACGGGGTGATCTAAGGCCACCTCTGCCTGCAAGCGATCGCTGGTCGCGTTCACGGCAGTTCCACCTTCGTTTTCCACCACGCTCCAGCCGTCCAACACCGAGGAGGGAGCACTGGTGAGCACTTCGTAGGAGGCCATGCTGGTCATTGAGCAGTGCGAGACGTAAAGCAAGCAAGTCGTTCAAAGCGACAGAGCCAGAGCACAACGACGGGCGTCAGAAACAAGGTCGTGAGCCAAAATGGCTACGCAGATCCAAAGGATATAGCCCTATTAATTTCTGTACCATCACGTCATAACCAAAGGCAAAACAGTGCAGCTCTGCCATGAACTTTCCCACCAATCTTTTTCTCCAGTGTCCCTTTGGACAGCAGAGTTAATTGACTGAACATCCAGCTGTCCTTGATGGCGCATGTGCTTCTCCAAT